GACATGTTAATGTTGCAGTTAAACGACATAGTTCAGAAATTAGCTATAATTCAATTTAGTTTGGTCATATAGCACTAATTCACAACACATGTCATTGCACAGTTATAATATTTTATATTTGCATTTGTTTATATTAATCTAATAACTTCAACCAAATTCAGTTCAATTCAGTTTATTTATATGGCGCCAATTCACAACACATCATCTCAAGGCACTTTACAGTTAATCAGATCATCCAGTCAGATTCAAAGTTTTCTATATAAGGAAAACCAGTTGATTGCATCGACTGGAATCCCTCAAACTAAGCAAGGTTGTAGTGACAGTAGAGAGGAAAAACTCCTTTTTAACAGGAACAACTTATTTTTATTAACTAATCTAATGTAAGAACAGTTTGGTAATTAAAAATCAATTTTGGCTGAAGTTGATCAGTAGGACATAAAAAGTTGTTAAGTCCAAGAGGCCTATTGATGTAACACATTTCCATCTCACTAATGGTGTCAGAGGATATAAAAACACGCCACTAAGCATTCTGGGAAATAACAGGAAGTCCACCCTCCTTAACTGCTACAGACAAAATTAATACCTTTATGTTTAAAGTGACAGGATTACATTGAAATTGTTTGGTTCTTCAGTTGTTATTTAAATACATCAAAACCTGCCTGTTAAGCATGAAAAAAAACATTGTTTTAAGTATAAATTTGACCATAAAATTGTTGCATAAAATGTCCCAGTTTCATTTTTTATACAGAACGTAACAATATTACCAAGGAAAAATATTCAATATTAATAAACCAAGTTTTCCGTTTCTGAGTAAAACTTGATTTGATGAAATTTTATTCAAATCTCCTGTTAATTTGTTACTTGAAGAAAAATCCAAATGCTTGTGAAGGTCAACTCCTCCTGCGTCTGTTTGTTTCCCCGTCTGCTGACCTCCAGTTGTGCAGCGTTTGGTTCAGCGTGGCTCATCACTCATCGTGTCACGGCTCCTGGAAGTTCACGGGTCAAACCGCGACCTCACAGGAAACCCGCACGACAGCCGAGAACAGACAGTGAACCTGGTGGACCCCAGGTCGATCAGAGGTGACCCATCCCTTACCAATGAGCTTGTATGAGACCCTGGAGGCAGGAGTCTATGCAAGCCTAGAAACAGGGTTCCCACACCACACCACATTCAGGAACTTTAAAGAACTTTCCAGCACCGAGTTTCTCAAACTCAAAGAACAGGCATGAAAATGAAGATATACTGAATAATATGAATTGACTTCTCCAGCATCAAAATTACGTATTTCTGCTTTGATCAACTAGACACTATGTCAGAATACTCCAGACTGAACACCACAGAGGTAACTGGATTAGAATCAATAAAAAAACAGAAATTTACTATATATACAGCCTATGTTCTTGTTGATAATGTCCATAGTGGACAATCAGTGATGGAGAGGATGGGCTCTGTTGGAGCTTTTAAGATCTTTATCAAAACGATACAATTCTTAAAGCTTCATGTAGATTCCAAAATGGTCTCCACCCACTGACAAAAATAGTGTTAGCCAGCCATGCATCCTGAAATTAGTATTTCTAGGCATGCCATTATGCCTAAAAGACCTAATTCAGCATGATTTGCAATTCAACCACAGGAAGAATCCACGCACATGCCCTGTTAGGCAAACATTAGCTGCCCACAGGAAACAAAAGAATACAATCCTTATAAAAATTACTTTTAGACACTGCACTGCCTTAAATTCTGTGTTTTGGAATCCATTTCCACCACTCTAGATCCAACACCACCCATCCTCTATGGGCAAAAGGTGGGTGGACCCTGGTCAGGCTGCCAGTCTGCGACATCAAGACACAAGCACACTCACACAGTGGGGGAAAGTAATAAAGTACATTTACTTGATTACTGTACTTAGATACTATTTTTTAGTATCTTTACTTTGCTCAAGTCTTTTTTTTATAACTTTCACTCTACTAGATTTCAAAGTCAAATATAGTGCTTTTTACTCCATTACATTTGGAGGAAGCTGCTAGTTATTTGTTACTTTTGGCTCAGTGTAGCTTTGTAATCTACTGTTACTGTTTTTCTTTCTTAAAATGCAATTTCAACATGTAAGATTGCAGCCCTTAGGACTGAATTTGGACACCAATGTCTTATGCAAGACATTCCACAAACGTGAGACACTCAGGGCAAGTATTATTTGCAGCTTATACATTTTATTAAGGCATAATTTATTGTCACGTGGCTACTGTAAGTTGTTCAGCAGGATGAGTTCTCAAAGCAGAGTTGTTCTTTCTTTGTGGTTAAGATTCAACCTTAAACCTACTGTATATTCCATAGTTAAAGTGTGAGGAGAATCAAGACTCTCCTGTTTTCTTTTTGATTTCTTTTTAAATAATAAATAATTAATCAAAATATCTTATTTTTATGCTGAAGTTCTTTACATATAGTGTAGAATTTGTAGTGGGTGGTTCTATACATCAATAAATCAAGTGGTTTCTGAAAGTTACAAGGTTCTGTAAGATGACTGGAAAATCAGACAGAAAGTTACGGATAGAAATTTTAATTTGCATTTTTTAATACCCATGTACTTTTAGATGCATGGGTTTTTGAATACTTAAGTGTTTTCAAAAGTGAGTACATTAATACTTCAACTTGAGTAGATGTTTGACCGGATAACTTTTACTTGTAGTTGAGTAATGTTTTTGGACTGTGGGAGGTAGCTGTTCATAAACATGCACAGCAAGAACATGCAAACTCCATGCAGAAAGCCAATGGGTCGGGAATTGAACCTGTAACCTTCTTCCTGCAAGGCAGCATAAAACCAAATATATCTCACATCTGCTATAAGCTAACATTGAGTGCAAGTTAAGTTAGCTGTGGCATTTATAGGGATCTGAGGCTGTGCTGAATCAGTGCTATTGATTGCATGGCTCACTGATTTTAAATATCTCATAGATCCATCCATCCATCTATTTTCTTTACACACTTAATCCCAAGTGGGGTCACGAGGGGTGCTGTGCCTATCTCCAGCTGTCTACGGGCGAGAGGCGGGGTACACCCTGGATGGGTCGCCAGTCCATTGCAGTATCTCTTAGATATATTAAAAATAAATATGTTTTAAATTAAGTTAAAGTTATTGGTAAAAGTTAGTGTTACTCTGCACACCTCTGCCTTCCATTACCAGGCTAAGACCTGTTATCTGCAGGAATACTGGGATGGCTCTGCAGTCATTGGGTGCATCAAAGATGGACCAGAAACTGAGTGCAGAGAGCTGGTGAATCACTTTGTGGCATGGTGTGGAAACAATCATATGTTCCTGAATGTCAACAAAACAAGATTATTGTAGATTTCAGAAAATTAGACTAGAGACGAAACTGTGAAACTACTACAAGAAGGGACAGAGCTGACTGTATACTGTGTACTTCATAAGGAAACTTAGGTCCTTGGATGTTTGCAGTAAAATGCTTCATATAGCCTGTCATGGAGAATGGGATCTCTTCCTCCATCATCTGCAGGGGTAGCAGCATCAGAGCAAATGGCTTAAAAAAGCTCAACAACCTAATAAAGAAGGCCAGCTCTGTTCTAGGAACTCCTCTAGAGGTGATTTCTCAAAGAAGAATTCTTAATAAAGTGAAGAACATTGTGGTTAACATGCTGATGAAGGTTCTCAGTCATCCAGGTCATAGTCATTCCGTAAAAATTCAGAAAATATCCACTGGACTTGGTTTCCAAGATTTGAAGACGTTTTGCCATCATCATGAATTAGGAAAGCTTCCTGGAGAGGTGGCGAAA